GCATATACTGAAAAAAGATGAGTGATGCATTAATAGGAAAATGAACAATTTAATTTTGAAATTCTGGAAAATAAACAAATCAAAGTTTTCTAATCTACTAGAATTCTAATTGAGATAATCTGATGTCCAATTATGATGATTAGAATTCTGGTTGATGTGATCAGCCAGTTCGTTCATTTTCAAAAGTTTTTCTCCTTGTGTATGGCATATCTTTTCTATTCATTCATTTGTTCGATTATTTTTAAGACAGAAGCTAAGTAATTATCTAAGAGGTAATTAATCGAAGATGGATCGTAATTGCAAGCAATTTGCTGGGATCGGTCGGCATAAGGTTAAGCAGCTGCTTGTAATATATTATTTAAACGAAACCTTGAAGGCCGCAGGCCCGCAAATAGAATGAAGCGAGCGGTGATCGAGTACCCCTATGCGTTTTCTGAGGGTGCCAGTAGGCGGGCGGTAGTAGTTATATCCGTTTCAGAACCAGGAAAACATCCCCCTCAATGAGACGATGTGGTTACGTAGTTACTTCTCTCCCCGGCACTGTTCTCTTGACTGTACTTACGTGTCTCGAACAGGTTACAAACGACGGGCGCAGTATTACAACCCGCAAATTACGGGGCCTCCCCATTTGTCCTCCCCCCTTCGCCCGTTTCTCCGACTGCAACACAAATACTGGTCCAAAACTGATGGTATTACACGATTGACTGTGAAAACTGAAAATCTCCTTCTCGTCAGCTTTCTCTCTTTGAACGCGCAGACATTTAACATCTTCAGGATTAAGAAAGAATATTAATTAATTAATAAATCAAGTAGATTAATTTAAAAGGTAATCGTGAAAGTAAAAATTGGTTTGACGATGATCGATAAGAATTATATAAATAGGATGCATTGATGTAACTGTATTTATACATGGAAAAAACGATTTTGCTGAAAGATCTAAAATTTTAGACCTTATCTAGGTGTAAAAATAATTTTGTTGGAAACTCAAACAATTCAAGATTGCTGTAGAATATCAAGATTTGTTTGTAACACTGGTCACAACTTTTTAGAGTTTCCAATATATAATAATTATTTCAATGATCCAACAAAATTATTTTCAGATTTGTATTCAACAAAATTTTAGATCTTTCAGCAAAATTGTTCCGTGTAATAAAAATGTAATTCCTTTTAACACTAATAAATATAATAATATAGTAAAAGAATAATAATTCTATATAAAAAATATTATAATATTTTTACAATGACTTTTTGTAACAATGACAAAGATTAAATGTAATTGTAATAAAAATCTCCGGGCGAATGAAAATTTGAATGTCACGGAAAAAACACGTGATCACATGTGGAAGCTAAACGGAGGAGGTAGTTCTTCCGTTCATAAATTACAATATTCGTGAGCCACCCCCGTCGTTAAGCGAATGCGTGTTTCCCGTGGCGCGGTGGCTACGTGTGAAATTCATTTACGGAATTAATACCGTGGATTTGCTAAACGAAGAATTACTGCGTGTCCCGCGTTCGCCTTAATTGCGCTAGCAATACTATTTGCGTCGGATTAGAGATTGGTTCATTTTACACCATTAATTTTTTACTTTCGAATTACCGTATAGAATTAATTAACATGTTTATGTCATCAGAGCTTCCCAATTCTATTTATAATTATATATTGATTACTTTTTTAATTTACTTTTTATAAATTATTTTTTTAAATATTTCGTGCTGTTAGGAATTACGTTATTATTTAAACTAGTCAACTCATAAATTATGTTAATAAATTAAAAGAAAAAAAAT